TGGAAATAAAAGAAGTAAGATAATTTATTGCTTTGATAATTTTATCTAATTGTTTATTGAGCTAATTCATTGTTTAAGTTTAAAAGTCTTATGGAATGTAAATTAAATGATTGTAAGCTCGCAATATATGGAATGACCCAAAACGCAGAAACAAAAGATTACTTGATGGTATTTCAATATGCAGATAAGGGAAGTCTTCATAAATATTTAAGAAAAAATTTTAGTAGTCTTACATGGCAGACTAAATTACAAATACTTAAAGATACTGCATGGGAGTTATATAATATTCATGTATTTGCAAAATACATCCATGCTGATTTTCATAGTGGTAATATTTTGCAAGATCAACGCACTACACAATCTTATATCGCTGATTTAGGATTGTCCAGAAAGAAAAACGATAATGTTTCAGGTGGCGAAATTTACGGAGTTATGCCCTATGTCGCTCCTGAAGTTTTATCAGGCGAGCAGCAGTTTACACAAGCAGCAGATATTTATGGATTTGGTATTATTATGGCTGAGATGTCAACTGGTCAAAGACCTTTTGATGGTCATGAATTTAATTTAAAACTTGCGCTCAAGATTTGCAGAGGAGAGAGACCAAAGTTTGCATCCGAAACTCCTAAATGCTATATTGAATTGGCTGAGGAATGCATGAATTCTGATCCACAAAAACGACCTGGTGCTTATGATGTTTATGATACAATAGATAGTTGGCTTAAGAAGATAGCTAGTTCAAATGATAATGAAATTAAAAAGCAATTCTTAGATGCTGATAAAGTTATTAAATTATTGCCGATACCAAAGCATTCTGATAAAATATACACTAGCAAAATTATTAGCACAAAATTAATTTCAAAGGCGATTAAAGGTATTTTTATTAATTTTTAACTAATATGTAAATGTTTATTATTATTTTTTAAAAAAATATTTATTTTCTTATTTAGATTTGTTACAGGATGATTCTGCTCAAATTAAGCTTGATATTACCGATGTATTTGTAAACAGTAATAATTAAAACTAGCATATCTCGCATTGCTTACGCAATGCATTTATATATTTTAGCTTTAGAGAGCTTCTACTTATTATACAAATATTAGTGTTATTAGATTTAGATTGGCTAGTAATTTTGATGGTATATTCATGCTTTTATTTGTAATAAATTTAAATACTGGAACTTTATTTGTAATAATTTTATTTTTAGGCTCTTATCTATAAATTTTCCTACTTTTTTATTATGTTTAAGTAAGGATATTTGTAATAATTAATAAAAATATAAATATAAATAATTCAGAACATTTATGTGATATAATAGATTGTGTATAAGTATTATCTTCAACAACAGAAACAATAAAAATAATTATTTATTATTATAAGATTATCTTCTATATATTTGACATAATCACAAATAAAAAAACTAGTAATACAAATAAGGAATACAAATAGAGAAACAATAGTTATTACAATATTAGAATAGCTATTCTTTGTCAAAGTTAATGAGATCTGTAGTCAAATTAGGTAGTTATTCAGAGCTACGCATAATTCGAGTTGTTTGTTGTTTACTTTTTTCTGGCTACGTGTAGTAGTCTTTTGAGACTTTTTAATATTTTTTGTTGATTTTTTAGTTTTTTCTTTATTGTGATTGTCAGAAGTGTCAGAATTATTAATCAATTCTGAGTTATCTTCAGTATCTTCAATTTTACATTAATATAACTTATCTCTTTTGCGTAGATATAAAGGTCATGATCTATAATTTCTAAGAATCTATTTACAAATATAACAGAATCATATGGTCATATAATAGTTTTAAGATTGCTGAATCTTGGATTATTATGAGAAAAAACTATCTTGAATGTATATTTACGTTCTTAACTATTAACATAGTCAGTCATAACTATTTCAACGATGCCATTAGTATTATTAATTTCTGTTGGCATATCTTGTGGAGTCCCTGTTAAGGAAACTTTCAAGGGGTATTTATTTGATATAGATCCCTTATCAATAATAGTTAAATAAGTAGAAGTCGATACAGTCATCTAAAGATATTAGAAATTTTAATTAAATAGATTTTGTAAAGGTAATTATAAGATATTTCAGTACATTTGATCTTGTGATTCCAGTATAGCATGATGGAATAATTTTTCCTCTAACAGAGTAACATTCTTCCCTTTTGAAGATTGCTTGAGTTTCCAGATCACGTTCCGCAGAGTCAACAGGCACATAAATAGTCAATTCAATTTCATTATCATCACGACCCATAGGATATGTTCTAATTGCCCATACTGGCATCATTTGGTTATTACTTTCCTTTTGGTGGACATGTTTAATCTTTACTATAGTGTTAGCATAACAAGGCATTTTTTTTATCAAGATAAGAGTTCTTTAAAGTTTTGTAGTGTTACGAGTGAAATTTAAAGTATTACAATAATATGAACTAACGTAACAGAGTTAGAGCAATCGTTGAGAGATGTGGTGTTAGCAATTTATTAGAATCTAAGTTTAAGGGGTTTATAGTAAATGTGCTATAATAACTGGTTTTTATTATTAATTTATTTATTTTTTATTCTTTTTTCTATTTATTAGCAACTCGTTGGTTGTTATTTTTCTATAATGGCAAAATTATTGTATTTATAGTGTTTTCAGCTCTAAAATTCAAGAGGTTATGAACATTGAATTCCTTTATTCACAGCCTAAACTCATTGTAAAGTTTGAAATTAGTTAAGAAAAGAGGCTTTTGTTACAAAAGTAGTAGCCGTAATACATTAAACTTTCTTTTCTTTCTTTGATTTAATTATTATTTCACGCGTACTAGCTTTTCAGATATTTAGAGTTTCACATTTGTTTATAAGGCTAATTCGGCCAATAAGCCTCATATTATAACCGAACTCAAAAGTCTCGAATGTTGTAGTATTTTTTTTTTTTTTTTTTTTTTTTTTTACTTTATACAAATGCCATCGGCCAAAACTTTTATTGGTATTGATAGTGAGTAAATGTTACATATTGTGAGAGTACAACTAGCCACACGTACAACTTTAGATTGTCTAATTTAAGTAGTCTGCCCGAAGGTTCTACACTAGCTGCTATACTTGAAATCTATTTGAAGATTACCTATTTAAACCCTCTGGCCTTATGACACTTACCCGTATTCTACCCTTTTTTTTACCAAGGTTCGCCTAACCCCGTGCTACTTCTCAAGGAAGACATCTGAGCTGACATTAGTTCACAAACTTTATGGTTCGGAGCCTAGACCCTATCACAAGGTATCCCTTCACCAACTCTCTAACCGATGGGGTGCTGTGGTACCTAACTATGCTATGCTATATCTTAATCTAGCTTGCATATACCCTTATTCGATGTTCATACAAACCCGGTTCCTACTGTGGCCTTCCACTAAGTTGGTCATCTGTGTCTCCAGATATCACACAAAGTAGATCCTCTCAAATCTGTTGCCTGCTTTGCTGCAGGATGTCAACAAGACAAATCCTTCCAAATCCAGTTAGCCGCCAAGCCAGGTTGGTGTTGCCGTACAACCTCATGTAATAGACTTACTCGCACCTGTTTCGTTGATCCCTCTGTATTCAGGACTTACTCGTATCTATTTCACCGATCTTTCCATACGCAGATAACTTCCCCGATCAGACGTTAACTGGTATGACTGTTGAAATCCGTACTACTTTACCTAACTCAGGATTTCTGCTATGCAGGTCCCCTGCCCGTAGATCCTATCAAGATTTATTTGTGTAATGTTACACACTCTCAAACGCTCCGTCACATTTCCAATACCCCGAATGGTATTGGTGCAACGTGATTTACAGGGTTACAACCTCAGAAACGAGCAGAATTTACTGTAAGTTGAATACAGATGTCTAGGTAATTATTCAATTCTGTCAACAGTTGGATTTGAACCCTAGACCTCTTGCATGGCGGTCCGACAATCTAACCACTACACTAAGATCGCCAGACCTAAATGTTGTAGCATTTTAATTCTCTATTTATGAGATTTACTATGCAGTATTATTTAGTTTTCAAAATGTAACTTTTATCTCATAATAGTAATGATTTTATAGATTCTTTTTATCTGCTAACATAATGATAGATCGACAAATACTTTATGAAAAGTTTAAAGGACTGTCTGTGAAATGGTTCTAAACAATGACTTACATGGTTAATTTTAAACTCAACCAAATTTAAGTAATAGGCAAATTAAACAAATTCAGTAGTAGTAATATACATGGTGTTTATATAGACAAAAATATCTAGTTAATCACAGTGATAAGTGATAGCAAGATGATCAAATTATATCAGGTTACAATTAGACATATACATACAAAAAATCTAAAAATAATCAAGTTATAATCAGATACGTACATATCAGTCACATGTTTTGTCACAAAATTTTGGCTTGAAATTTTTTTTTACTATATAATGTAAAACTTTATTCTGAACAGGTTTACTTAAAAGACAAAAGTAGATTTACTTAGTAAAAACAGGTTCTATATAGAAAAACTGCAAATTTTATATTTATTATATCAGATATAGTAAACTATTTTTTTTACTAATATAACCTATTTTTATCTTTTAGATAAAGTTGTTCAGAATAAAATTTTATATATAATTATTGTTTTATAATTAAGATTTATATTAAGAATATTTTAGTTAGTATTTAAGAGCTTTTTAATAATATAAATAATATTTTCTAATTGTTTAAGATCAGGGAACTCAATCCGTACATCACTTGTACCAAAACCTTACCAAAAAAATTTTTTTACAAAAAATAATTTTCTTCAACTT